AGATCAGCTGACATTTGATAATTTTTTAAATTTTTATGGCAAATCAATTATCATAAAAAAAATTCTTTTGAAAATTTGTACAAATAAGTTTTTTAAATTTCTACATGTGGAATTCTTTTACTATAAATTTTTTAATAATAATTGAATTGTTATAAAAATTTGAAAAGTTGTAAGATGTCTTTTGATTCAGTATCGTAACAAGTTTCGAAGTCTAGAATTGAATTTTTTTTTAATTTTCAGTGGAATAGAAAAACTTGATAATAGTTTTGAAGAAGACATTATGAAAAATTATGTTAATTAAATTAAAAAAATAATTAATTTAACAAATATGTTATTGTTTTGTATACTAGTTGCCACCACTTTATTTTACATTTTTCTCGGCAGGTGGCGTCAAGATCATCTTTCTCAATCCCTATAGGAGGAATATTTGAGCAGGAGTGTGGCACTGGCGCTTCCGTGTTAGTAAATTTGATATAAAAAAAATTTTTTTTTTTTTTTTACTTTTTTGAATTCTTTCAATTTGATGAATTTGAAAATACTTAAATGTGTTTTTTTTTTTTTATAACAACAAAGTTAACTGACATTTTTTGTTTATTTTTTGACTTTGTTTAATTTATTAAATTTGACCTAAAAAAATTTTTTTTTATTACACTTACAGTTTTTTAAATTTTTTACAAATGAATTTAAAAAAAAATTTCATTTGTAATGATTTTTTCAATAAAAAAAATTCTAAAAATTGTTAAATGTTGGCTAACTTTATTGTCATTTTTTTTTCTCTTTGTCTCAGAATATCAAAAAACAAATCAAAATGTCCATCAATTTTTAACTTCGGACATTTTCAAGAAATAAATCTTTGTAAATTGTCTTTCTCTCTCTTTCCCTCTCTTCATTAGTGGCAGGGATCCCATTAGTGAACTTTTTATTGGTTTTGCTAGAGAGAGAGAGAGAGAGAGAGATTAATAAATAAATGGAATTGTTGAATACAGTCAGAAATACAATAAGAAAATTTCGATTCATGATGAAGATAAAATTAACTCCTTAATGTTAAAATGTAAACTGTGAAATTAACAACTTTCATTATTATAACTATTATTTTTGGTGTACTTTTTAACAGCATTTCTAGATCATTCCAGGGAATTCGAGTCAGTTTTGCAAATGGATTGTTTTTAATAATTAATCATTAATCATTTTTTAATATTCTGAGACAAAGAGAAAAAAAAATGACAATAAAGTTAGCCGACATTTAACAATTTTTAGAATTTTTTTTATTTTTACCGGCGTAAAAATAAATAAATTTTTTAATTTTTTGATACAAAATATTAAAATATTGCTTTTTTTTTATTTAGTTAAATTATAATAAATATTAAATACTTTCAAATAATAAACACAGCCTGATATTTTTTTCCTTGCTGAGTTGCGCTCAGTTGGCCTTCGGGGAGTCCTGTATATCCAAAGCCAATAGTGTTTGTGAACAGCCTAGCTGACGGTCTTGATGTGGATTATGTATATTTCTGTTCATATTCCTGCATTCCTGCTGTCTGCGCATGCATTTCGACGATACGACGTGTCAGACTACTGTATTTAATTAAGGCTATCTTAATGTAAACACAAGACTAAAACAACTAAAACGACTAAAATGTAAAATATATACATAAATATCAGTAGTAGCCTCAGCGTTATGTGTTTGTGTGTATTTTGTGTGTACGTAAGAAAAAAACAACAGTTACAATAATCAATCACGGGCATTACCAACCATTGTCGTTAATTCAAATATTGTTTAATTAGTAATTGTTGAAGTATTTTAAATTGTTTGTTTGAAAAAATATACCTATATAATTATTATACTTTTTATTCTAGAAGTACAGCAATAGTTATGTGTGGTTGGGAATAACCTTACATCAATATAAGTTTTGAATATATATTACTCAGCTATTTATTTTACTATACCTATTGGTGTATTTGATATATAACTTAATATGTTCTGTTGATGAAAATAGTAGTTTTTAGATAATTATTTTCCCGCGTAAATTGTCTCGGAGATCGAATATTAGTTGAGTAGTGTCGAGGCAAAAGAACTAGGTTAGATCCAAAAAGTGAAATACGATATTATATTTTGTCGTACCCTTGTAAAGACAATGTTTAATTTGTAACTCTTATATAATTACTAAATAATTGTGCATATACACACATATATATATATATATATCTAAGACAAACAATTATAATTATTTATTGTCGCGCTGCAATCGTATATACCAGTATATAAGTATGTCGCAGACGTCAGTAACTGCATATTTTAACTCGCGAAAACGACAAGCAACCGATGAGCTCAAAAATAAAACAAAGGTCCTCATTTTAGAGCGTGATAAAATGCAAATAACGCGAGCAACTGATAAAATTAACGAGGATATCGAACTTGATAATGAATCTGTTAAAATAATTAAAAAAAACGATGCTACGGAGAAAATAAATGTTGTAAAACGAATTATTCAATTTGATGGTGCTAAAATAACTACACCAAGAACTCCTCGTGTTACTCGTTCTCGTATTAAAAGTAAAAAAAATACTGTCTTAGAAGGTCAGACTGACATTATGAAATCTTTTTTAAAGATAAATAATGAAAAACAGAATGTTGTTTTTGAAAAGAAAGGACTGCTTAGCCCGAGAAAAAATTTGACTTCAAAAGGAGTTATTGAAGAACAATCTGGTGGATCTATTATCCCGAAAACGATTCCCTTGATGGAGCGATTAGCACAACAAGATTTAAGTTTAGAAGAAATAAAAAATCGTATAAATAAATCTTCAAGATTGGCTGAATTGAAAAAGCGTATTGATATCATTAACGAGTGCAAAAAAAAACTTGATAGCCTGCAAAATTCAGATGAACCATTACCAAAAATAAAAAAATTTGACAAGATTCAATTAGAAGTTCCCGTCAGGTAATATTTTTATATTTAGAAATAATCTGTATTAATTGTTTATTTAAATTGTTATTTACAATTTTTAGCCCCCAAAAGAGTTTAAAATCACCATTAAAGACTCCTGTGAAGAAAATTGATTTATCATCAAATGCCAGCCCTCAACGACGACTCCTCTTTTCACCTAAGGAATCAACACCAAGTCCAGTTAAATGTAGCCCTACCAAGACTCCTGCTTATCAAAGATATCAGTCTATTAGTCAGAGTGAAACTCCTGCACTTTCCTTACCATTTAGTTACAGATTTTTAGCTGAAGTTTTTCGTTGCATTGATACGGTATATTATTCAATTAATTTAAATTAAATTATTAATTAAAAATAACTTTTATCTTACATTATTATTAGTGTTAAATATTTAAGTTTATTTATCATTCTATAGTAATAAATTTAATCAACTGATAAACTTTCTTCCAGGTTGCAGCAATGTTGTTCAATCGAAAAGAAACAATTACGTTCCGGAAACTCAAACCAGCTGTGCAAGAACTTCTTCGCCATAATTTTACTTTAGAACATTTAGCTCAAATAAAAAGTATTTATCCGGATGCTTACAATTTCAGCCAAGAAAAAATGCGAAATTTTGGATCTACCTCGAAGCTAGAAAAGTATGAGTTGGTATTAAAACCCTTCGTTGAAAATACAACTAAAAAACGAAGTGATAGGGATAATCTTGATGATAATAATATTTACAATACCACGTCTGATACAACTATGGGGCCAAACGTTCTATTACAACGACGAAGAAAGTTGTACCACGCATTATTAGGTAATGCATGGCTTGAGGACCAGATAAATTATTTTTTTTTCGTATTTTCTTAACTAAATTAAACTAAAATTTTCTTGAATTGGTTCAAATTTAAAAATATTTTATTGATTTTTCAGAGAGAACTAAAATGCATCATGAAATATTTTTGAAGAGTTTGGAAAGTCCACTTGTCATTCCAAAAGAAAAGATAACTCGTTGGCATCCAGAATTTGACGTGGATAATTGTCCAACTATCGAAGTAGCAGAATTACCTCAACCACCCACCACAGAAAAAGCATTATCTGCTAAGGATGTCCTTGGTGAATATTATTTAATATTTATTTTATTGGCAATATATATATATATATATATATATATATATATATATATATATATAT